CAGCATTCAGCCGGCGGCGGCGCCTCACTAGGATAGTCCTCCGCCTAGCGGCGTCGGCACACCGGGTTCTAGTCCTGGTCAGGGCGCCGGATTCTGTCCCGGTTGTCCCTCTTCCAGGCCAGCTCTCTGCTGTGGCCAGGGAGTGCAGTGGAGGATGGCCCAGGTGCTTGGGCCCTGCACCACATGGGAGACCAGGAAAAGCACCTGGCTCCTGCCATCGGATCAGCGCGGTGCGGCGGCCATTGGAGGGTGAACCAACGGCAAAGGAAGACCTTTCTCTCTGTCTCTCTCTCTCACTGTCCGCTCTGCCTGTCAAAAAAAAAAAAAAAAAGTTCAAAAATCAGAAAGGAACTGAGACTCACAGGCAAGTGACTAACTACAAGTGATGAAAAAGGACCAGCTGCGGGAGGTAGCCCACTGTCTGACAGTGGGCTTATCCTTTCAACACAGATTTATTAAGCACCTACTATGTGCTTGACCCTGGCCATGCTGCACTGAGCATTTCTGGTCTGACAGAAACACTTACAACTCAGGGCAATCAATTCTGTAAGAGGAGAAGTGCCAGATGCTCCAAGATTGCAAGGCTTCAGGGAAAGTGTTCTGGAGCAGGCGAGGTCTTGGTTGAGAGGTGAAGACTGAGTAGGATTCAGATCCTGGTGAGCCAGGCTCTTATGCCCAAACTCAACCACAGTCTTTGTTCCCAAGTAGAAGCCAAGGGAAGAGTGGTGTCTGGAGATTGAAGGGCTAGTGCACAGGCCCGGAAGGGAAGAGTGTGCATTTGGGGAACTGAAGAAGGTCCTCTGTGTCTCACCTCTGCAGAAGAACAAAGCAGAGGGCCGGCGCCGCGGCTCACTAGGCTAATCCTCCGCCTAGCGGTGCCGGCACACCGGGTTCTAGTCCCGGTTGGGGCGCCGGATTCTGTCCCGGTTGCCCCTCTTCCAGGCCAGCCCTCTGCTGTGGCCCGGGAGTGCAGTGGAGGATGGCCCAGGTGCTTGGGCCCTGCACCCCATGGGAGACCAGGAAAAGCACCTGGCTCCTGGCTCCTGCCATCGGATCAGCGCGGTGCGCCGGCCGCAGCGCGCCGGCCGCGGCGGCCATTGGAGGGTGAACCAACGGCAAAGGAAGACCTTTCTCTCTGTCTCTCTCTCTCTCACTGTCCACTCTGCCTGTAAAAAAAAATAAAATAAAAAATAAATTAAAAAAAAAAAAAAAAGAACAAAGCAGAGGTCATTTGGGACTGCCTTTGGGACTTCCTGCCTGTCCTCTAGGGCTCCCTTCCACCCTCCTTTCTAGTGTGAGCAGTTCTAGTACTTTCCCTGTGTGTCCCTGTTGACCATGATTCCTCTCCTCTCAGAGTTATAGGGACCCTTGCCTAGGCTTGCTCTCCAGGCCAGGCCAAGGTCTTTTGACCTCATTCAGAAGCAGAGAGTGACTTCAGGCATGACCCAACATCTTTGGTGTCCAGAAATTTCTTTGTCCCAGCTGAGGGTGAGACAGAAACAGAAAGTCCCCAGAAAGTGTCATTGTCAGGGCCTGTTTACTGACAAGGTTGCTCTCATCTGGAAAATCAAGATTGGAAGCACATAACTAAGAGTGAGAGGCCATAGTCACCATGACCTGTGTTTCCTGCTCCCTCTGGACCATAAAGGAACTAAGGAGGCCAGCGCCGCGGCTCACTTGGCTAATTCTCCACCTGCGGCGCTGGCACCCCGGGTTCTAGTCCTGGTTGGGGCGCCGGATTCTGTCCCGGTTGCTCCTCTTCCAGTCCAGCTCTCTGCTGTGGCCCAGGAAGGCAATGGAGGATGGCCCAAGTGCTTGGACCCTGCACCTGCATGGGAGACCAGGAGGAAGCACCTGGCTCCTGGCTTCGGATCAGCACGGTGCACCGGCCGCAGCGGCCATTGGGGGGTGAACCAACGGAAAAAGGAAGACCTTTCTCTCTGTCTCTCTCTCTCACTCTCCACTCTGCCTGTAAAAAAAAAAAAAAAAAAAAAAAAAAAAAAAAAAAAGAACAAAGGAGTTAAGAGCCTGGGTTCTGGAGTCGGTGAGACTGGGTTCAAATTCTACCCCAGTCCCTGTGAGGGAGAAGCAAGTCACCTCACCTCACCGAGCCTTATTCCTTAAAATCATAGTGCTACCTCCTTGGGGACAGTATGCATGTGTCCAACAAAGGGACCAGAGACCATTCCCATGGATTGGCACCCAAAAAAGGCTTAGTCTTTTGGTACTGTTTTTTTTCTCAACCTTAGCCATGAACCAGGCCCAGCCTTCTCCTTTATCCAGTTTCCAGGGAAGTGCTTTAAGGTGGGATGGGGGGAAGCAGGAAATGGGGGGGGGCAATGCTTCCATTACAACATTGACTTCTGATTAAAGAATTGCATACCAAAAAATGCACAAATCATAATATGCAGCTTGACATAATTTCAAAAGATGGAACACACTTATTAACCAGTACATAGCTGAAGAAGGAACATGACCAGCCCTAGGTGTGGTGGGTAATACTGACAGTGGTGGCAGGAAAGGGCTCTTTGGTGGTTGAGGGGTGGGGTTCTCAGGGTCTCAAAGAGTCACAGTGTCAACAAAGGACACTGTGACCCCCCACCCCACCGCTTTCACCGCTACCTCCAAGAGTACTCACTACCCTGACTTCTGAAGCCAGACATCCGTGGAGCCTGCTTTTCTATTTATGTTAAGTGGAATCATGCTGCACATAGTCCTCTGTGTCTGGCTTCTTTCACTCAGCACCAGGCTGATGAGAGTCACCCACACTGAGGGAGATAATTATAGATCATTCACTCGTGTTGCTATATGGTGTTCCATTGTGGTCACCCATTCCACTGTTGATGAGTGTTCAGGGAGTGTCCGGTTTGGGGCTATTGTGGGAAGGGCTGTGATGAATATTCTAGGGTATGTCTTTTTTAAAGATTTATTTATTTATTTGAAAGGCAGAGAGAGAGAGAGAGATGAAGATAGAGACAGAGGCAGAGGCAGACACAGACAGATCTTCCATCCACTGGTTTTTTTCTCCAAATAGCCCCAACAACTGGGACTGGGCCAGGCCAAACCTAGGAGCTTGAAGCTTCTCCTGGGTCTCCCATGTGGGTGCACAGGCCCAAGCACTTGGACCATCTTTACTGCTTCCCCTGGCACATTAGCAGAGAAATGGATCAGAAGTGGAGCAGCTGGGACTTGAACCAGCACCTATATGGGATGCCGGTACTGCAGGCAGAGGCTCAGCCTCTTTCGCCACAGAACCAGCCCCCAGAGTAATTTTTTTATATACCTGATCCATGACATGGGGCACAGGAGCCTGCTTCCTCAATGGCCAATCATTTGTTCACACACATCTATGAAGCTCAGATCTGACCAGGCACGGCAATGAGCCACCAGAATGCCAAGATAGAAAGGCCATGGGCTGATGCTGGCCCGTGCACACTGAGATCTGTTCCTCACCCCTCCCCTCGTGTGTGGGCACGTGGCAGGACTGGGTGCTGTGGGATCGTACTGAGCTCTTCAGGCTGTATTTCCTCTGCGCTGGGTCAACTGGAAGACACTGGCTGATCTCGGTGGACAGGAGAAGGAAAGAAGCTTGGGTGGGGGGGCTCCTCCCTCTCTGACTTGGGCGGTGCCTCTGGCTATGGCTGCATCTCTTCTGTGGCTCCAGCTCCCAGACGATAAGCCTGGCATGGCTCCAGCTTCTGCAGCTGACCTTGGTCCCTGGGTTCCAGTAGCATCTCCTGATCTCTCGCCCCTCCAGCTGAGGGATGGAAGTGGCTTCCTGCTGCTTTGCCTCTCCACCTTTCTTGCTCTTCTGTCACCTGCTTATCCAGTTCCTCACAATCGTTCTCTCTTTAGATGTTTCATGGTGGTTTCTATTTTCCCACTGGACCAGCATTGGTTCTGGCAGGGACCTCCAAGGCTGGTTGGGAGTTCTCTAGCAAAAGGACATCTCATCCAAGGAGACCATTGCACTGGTGGTGCCAGATGAGATGGGTTGGGAACTGTGGGACTGTTACATGCTCTGGGTTGCCTGGATAGTTGCCAGGAGACCTGATGCCAACTGGGGAGCAGTAGTTCCTCTAGGACTGAGGGCAGTGAGGGGTGGTCATGGCAGTGTCCTGCTAGCCAAGACTGTTCCCTCCAAGACATGTTTCTGTCTGGGTCTACGGGCCAGGGGTCTGCAGACCAGCCTTCAGCATGAGATGCTTTGATGGCCGTTTACCTCTGTGGAAACAACCCAGGAGTGAAGAATGGCATCTCAGACCTCATGATATTCCCAGACTCATGCATAGTAGGTACTAAGAGGGTACTTCAAATATGAAACGGGGGTTGGCATTGTGGCACATTGGGTTAAGCTGCCGCTTGTGATACCAGTATCCCATACCAGAGCAGTGGATCGAGTTCTGGCTGCTCTGCCTCCAATCCAGCTCCCTGCTAATATACCTGGGAAAGCAGTAGAAGATGCTCCAAGTACTTGAGTCCCTGCTGTCCATTTGGGAGAACCTGATGGAGTTTCAGACTCCTGGCTCTATCCTGGCCCAGTCCCAGCCACGGCAGCCATTTGGGAAATGAACCAGCAGATGGAAGACCTCTTTCTCTCTCTCTCTCACTTTGCTTTTCAAATAAAATAAATAAACCTTTTTAAGAAATGAAATGGGTAGGGCTGGTGTTGTGATTTAGCAGGTTAAGCCACTGCCTGTGGAAAATCTCTCTGTCTCTCTTTCTCTTTGTCTGTAACTCTGCTTCTCAAAAAAAAAAAAAAATCAGAAAGGAAGAAAGGAAGGAAGGAAGCAAGGAAGGAAGGAAAACTGAGATGGTGAAACACCACTAACAAAGAAGGGTGAAATTCAGATTCAAATCATGGTCTCTTGAAGTCACTGGGCATCAATTTGACACCCAGTTGCTTCACTTGTGATTCAGCTCCCTGCTAATGTGCCTGGGAAAGCAGTGTAAGATGCCCCAAGTATATGGGCCCCTGCACTCACGTGGGAGACCTAGAAGAAGCTCCAGGCTCCTGGCTTCGGCGTGGCAAAGCCCCAGCCATTGTGGCCATTTGGGGAGTGAACCAGCAGATGAAAGATATCTCTCTCTCTTTCTGTCTTTCCCACTATATAACTCTGGCTTTCAAATAAATAAAAATAAGTTTTTTTTAAAAAATTGATCTAAAAGTCAAGTTTATATTGGTGCAAACAAATTTTGAAATCTATGCATAGTTTTTTTCATAATATACATTTTTTTCATGAATTCCTTAAGACCCTTCATCATAACAACTCACACATGAGTGTTGGCTATATGCACTGTTCTAAGCATTTGATGTCTTAACTTAGCATCTTTCAGTGTGATCCCACTTTATGGATGAGCATACTGAGGCACCAAGAGGTAAAGTCACTAGTACCCAATCAGTCTTTGCTGATGGCAATAGCATCAATAAGTTGTATGGTACAATGCAAAAATACACTGGCTTTGGAATTCAAGAGATGATGGTTTGAATCTGAATTTCACCCTTTGTTAGAGTTGCAGTATCTCAGTTTCTTTTTTTTTTTTTTAAGATTTATTTATTTATTTATTTGAGAAGCAGAGTTACAAAGAGAGGGAGAGTCAGATTTTCCATCTGCTGTTCATTCCCCAAATGGCCTCAATGGCTGAAGCTGGGCTGATCTGAAGTGAGGAGCCAGGAGTCTCTTCCAGGTCTCCCACATGGGTGCAGGGGCCCAAGGACTTGGGCCATCTTCTACTGCTTCCCCAGGCCATTAGCAGGGAGCTGGATTGGAAGTGAAGCAGCCAAGACTCAAACCGGTGACCATATGGGATGCTGGCACCACAGACGGAGGCTAAACCTACTACACCATACCACTGGCTCCACCGTCTCAATTTCCTTTCCTGTGAAATGAAGATAGTAATGGCCACCTGATCAGCTTCCTAGGGATTGAATGAACAACATTACTGAGAGAATAGAGCCTGTACACACACACACACATGCATACATATACACACCAATGTGTAACAGAAAATTGTTTTTCACTGCATGTGTGTTATACTTCAATTTTTTTCAGTCATATACTTATTTATGTATGATTTATAATGGCCTAAAAATGAGTCATAACCTTCAGATTTAACAAGCCAGCAATTAACTTACTTTATCTGATAAAATACTACGTGTGATAAATGTGTCTGTGTCACTCTAGACACTGGCCTTAGGGTAGAAGTTTCCTTTTTTGGGGATCACATTAATAATTCCAATATATGAGTATACTTTTTCTTTAAAAAGATTTATTTATTTATTTATTTGAAAGAGTTAGAAGGAGAGACAGCCTGGAGCTCAGAGCTTCTTCTAGCTTCCTATGTGGGCATAGGAGCCCAAGTACTTGGACTGTTTTCTGCTGTGTTCGCAGACCATTAGCAGGAACTGGCCTGGAAGTGGAGCAGCTGGGAATTGAACTGACACCCACATGGGATACCAGTGTCAGGAGAAGGGGCTTAACCTACTACGCCACAACACTGGTCCTCATGAGGTATACTCTTAAGACTGCAGTATTTTAATTTTTCATTTTAAAATATTTCAGCTGCAAAACAGAATAAGGAATTGCTGTATAATGTTAACATTTTACTACCTTTGCTTTATCCTCCTCTGTGTGTGTGTGTGTGTGTGTGTGTGTGTGTGTGTGTGAGAGAGAGAGAGAGAGAGAGAGAGGGAGAGAGAAACATTTGAGAGTAACTTGCAAAACTGATGCTGCTTTATCCCTAACTGTTTCTGTGTGTATCCTGGAAACCAGATGTTTTCTTACAAGATTATGAAAAACAAGAGATTTAATTCATTATATAATTTGTGTCTTCTATAGTAAAATAAATAAGTGAACTTTTCTGGTCCAGGATTTCATTTAGTGGTCGTGTCTCTCCAGGTTCCTTTTATCTGAAAAAGTTGTTTTGTCTTTGATGACCATGAGTTTTTGAAAAAGATTTTTCTTTATTTTTTATTTGCAAGGCAGAGTGACATGGTGGTGGGGTTGGGAGGGCAGATCTTCCATTCACTGGTTCACTCCCCAAGTGGCTGCAGTGGCTGGGGTTGGCTCAGGCTGAAGCCAGGAGCCTGGAACTCCATCCTGGTCTCCCATGTGGGGTGGCAGGACCCAAGCACTTGGGCGGTTTGCCACTGCTTTCCTAGGTGCATTAGCAAGGAGCTGGATTGGAAGTGGAGCAGCTGGGACTTGAACTGAACCAGTGGTTGTATGGAATGCTGGCATCGTAGGTGGCAGCTTAACCCACTGTGCCACAATGCCAACACCGGTGACCTTGACAATTTCTAGAGAGTAAAAGCCAGTTATTTTTTAACAGTGCTGCTCAGTTGGGCTTTTCTGATGTCTTCTCATGGTCTGTTTAGGTTCTCCATCATGGGCAGGAATATCAGAAAAATGTGGTTCTTGGGATGGTGCATCAGAATACACTTGTTATCTACATGGTGATTTTGGCTTTGACCACTTGATTAAGATGGTGCCTGCCAGCTTCCTCTGCAGTGCAGTTACTGTTTTTCCTTTTGTAATTATAAGTATCTTTGGGGGAGATACTTTGAGTCTATGTAAATATGTTGTTTCTCATCCTACTTTCACACACCAGTTTTAGTATTCATTGGTGTTGCTTGCCTGAATAAATTGTTACTGTGACAGCTGCCAAATGGTGATTTTTCTAATTCTATCATTCCTTTTGCATTTCTTAGTCAGGATGGGAGACCTCTTTCTCTGTCTCTACCTCTCTCTGTAACTCTGTCTTTCAAACAAATAAAATAAATCTTAAAAAAATAAAGCAAACATATATATGATGCAAATACATTGTGTTTCATATAAGATAGTTACACTGAAAGTCTACAGTTGAGATTCTTCTTAAATGTGGATCCAAAAACAAATGTGGATCCAAATAATCCCATTTCCTCCCCACTACACCCCATAATGATGCCTATACTATAGGCTGAGCATCCTCATCTGAAAATCTGAAACCCCAGATGCTCCTGAATCTGAAATCTTTTTATTAAAGATTTACTTACTTTACTTGAAAGTCAGAGTTACACAGAGAGAGAAGGAGAGGCAGAGGGAGAGAGATAGAGGTCTTCCATCTGGTGGTTCATTCCCCAGGTGGCCACAATGGCTGGAGCTGTGCCGGCCTGAAGCCAGGAGCCAGGAGTCTCTTCCAGGTCTCCCACGTGGGTGCAGGGGCCCAAGGACTTGGACCATCTTCTACTGCTTTCTCAGGCCATAGCAGAGAGCTGGATTGGAAGTGGAGCAGCCAGGTCTCGAACCAGCGCCCATATGGGATGCCAGCACTACAGGTGGCAGCTTTACCTGCTCTGCCACAGCGCTGGCCCCCTGAAATCTTTAGAGTGCTGACATGATGCCACAGCTGGAGAATTCTACAACCAAAAATAAATTTTAAAATATATCTAGATAGATAGATGATAGATAGATAGATAGATAGATAGATTGATTGATTGATAGATTAGAAAGAGAGAAGCAGAGCAATATCTACTAGTTCACTCCCCAAATACCTGCAAAGGCCAGAACTGGGCCACCCTAAAGCCAGAAGTCACATCTCTGGTGGGTGGCAGGAATCCAATTACCTGAGCTGTCATCACTGCCTCCCAAATTGAGCTATCATATCTGCCTCCCAAGGTCTGCATTAGCAGGAAGCTGGAATCAGGAGCCAGAGCCAGGCATCAAACCCAGGAACTTTCTTGTGGGATGCAAGCCAAATGTCCTACCTGGAAAAATTCCTCACTTGGCCTCATGTGATCAGTCACAGTCAAAACATAAGTTCTAGATAAACCTTGTATAAAATTACCTCCAGGGAGTCTGGCGCTGTGGCATAGTGGGTTAGGTTTCCGCCTGATACACTGGTATCCCATATGGGTACCAGTTTGAGTCCTAGCTGCTCCATTTCCAATCCAGCATCCCTGCTGATGGCCTGAGAGAGCAGTGGAGGATGGCCCGAGTGCTTCGGCCCCTGCACCCACATGGGAGACCTGGAAGAAGCTCCTGGCTCCTGGCTTTGGATTGGCCCAGCTCCGGCCATTGCAGACATTTGGGGAGTGAACCAGTGGATGGAAGATTTCTCTCTCTCTGTCTTTCCCTCTTTCCCTGTAACTCTGCCTTTCAAATAAATAAATCTTTTTTTTTAAATTACCTGTAGGCTATGTGTATAAAGGTGTACATGAAACATAAATGAATTTTGTCTTTAGGCTTAGGTCCCATGCTGAGATATTGTATTATGTATATTCAAATAACTCAAAATCTGAAAAAAATTCAGAACCCAAACCCTTCTGGTCCTAGGCATTTTGGATAAAGGATACTCCATCTGCATGAACCAGTGGATGGGAGATCTCTGACTCTCTGCTTTTCAAATACAAAATAAATAAAATTTAAAAACAAAATGAAGAGAAGCAAGAATAAATAGGTAAATTGCCCAAATGGCCAGCTCCTCATAGGTGACAGGAATGTCACCTGCACTGGAGGCTGCTTGTAACACTGAAATGAGGGCCGGGATGTGAGGCACTCAGCACAGACCCAGCTGAGAGCAGGTGCTTTGGCAGCCTTGGGTGGATTCACAAGGGATGAATCACTTGGAGAGACCAGCACTTGGCTGAGATACCCATGTGGGCTGAGGGCCCCTCTGCTCCTGCCGATCTGGCACCAAATGCGGAGCTAATATTGGATCTCCAGGAGGGAGACTGTTGTCTTGGGGACAGTGATGTTGTCGCTCCCCCTCTTCATGGAGGAACGACACTAAACCCTGCCTAGGCTTCATATCCGAGTCACGGCACCATTATGTCGCTCCCCGTCTTCGTGGAGGAACGACACAGGACCCTGCGCTGTTCTTTTGTCTGCTCGGCCCTCCCAGGTTTTCTGCTGGTTCTTCCCGGGTTGGCTACCGTCCCTTCCACCTCCGTGGAAGGGCGGTTCCCCCTGCCACTTTCACCACTTCCGCGGGGGAGCGGCACACGAGCAGCCGGCTCTCTCGGGGGCTGCACAGGTGTTCCTTCAGATAGATGTTCCTGGTGCATGGTGTCTCTCTCCTCCTTTATAGTCCTCTTCCACCAATCCCAACTCTGCTACCCACACGCCGAGTACGCTGCTCTCCTCCAATCAGGAGCAGGTCCGCAGTTTATTGGTTGAACTGGAGGCAGCTGTGTAGAAGCTGTTTCCTCCTCTCCCAGCGCCATATTGTGGGAGAGCAGATGCATAGAATAAGTCTTAATTCCAGTAACTTAGTCTAGTCCGAGTTGCTCCCAGTTGCTCCCCACAGATGTCTTTCTGATCCTCTCTCCAGGAGGGAGTCAGGTCTGATGAAAAGGCAGAGACTGTGGGCTGGGCCGTGAGGTCAGTGTACTCAGTTATTAACTTGCCCCCCAGATAAATGGTGTATACTCCCTGGGCCTCATTCTCTTCATCCAGAAAATGGAGATATTTGCAACAGGTCCAAATACTTCCCAAGTGGTCCTGAGGCCTCTGTGGCACAGTGGGTTGAACCTGGGGAGCCTGCAAGCCGTATTGGAATGCCTGGGATCAAATCTTGTCTCCACATACAATCTAGCTTCCTGATGGCCCAAGTACTTGTGTACACGCCACACACATGGGAGACCTGAATGGAGTTCAGGCTCCTGGCTTTGGCCTGGCCCAGCCCCAATGGTTACAGACAATTGGGGAGTGAATTAGTGGACAGAAGATGTCTCTGTCTCTGTCACTCTGCTTTTCAAATAAATAAATAAATAAAGCTTTAAAAATGGAAGAAAATAGCTAGAACTAGAATTAGGAGCTCTATGAATATAAAAGGTCACTAAGGAAGCCTCTGGAGTGATTAGAGCCTTTCGCTCAACCACCTCCTCATGCATGAGCCCAGGAGTCACTCTCAAGACTTCCCAGCTCTCCTCCATCCCTTCCTTGCCTCCTTTACCTTTTACCTTTTTTTTTCTTTTTTTCTGAAAATCAGAGTTACACACAGAGAGAAGGAGAGGCAGAGAGAGAGAGAGAGAGAGAGAGAGAGAGAGGTCCTCCATCTGCTGGTTCACTCCCTCCCCAAATGGCCACAATGGGCAGAGCTGGGCTGATCCAAAGCCAGGAGACAAGAGCCTCCTCCAGGTCTCCCATGCAGGTGTAGGGGCCCAAGGACTTGGGCCATCTTCTACTGCTTTGCCAGGCCATAGCAGAGAGCTGGATCGGCAGTGGAGCAGCTGGAATTCGAAACGGCGCCCACATGGGATGTCAGTACTAAAGGTAGCTGCTTTATCCACTATGCCACAGCACCAGCCCCCACCTTTTACCTTAATCAATCAGCCTTGCACAACTTCCCCAGGATGGCTCCAAGAGAACCCTGTGCAAAGCCTGGTTGAAAGGGTCCTTTGTTTCCATGGGTTGGGAAAGGACTCCTTTAGGATTGCTAAAATGCAGCTGTCTATGGGATCCAGAGCCACAGGTGGCTGATGGGAAAGGAGAGGAGGGAGGAACCATCTCCACCCCTCCCCAAAGTGAGTCACCTTGTCAACATGCCCTGTGACATCACAGCAAGTTCTACCAGGTCCCCCAAGATCTGGGGCCCGCCCTTGCAAGGCAGAGCCTTGCCCTTCCTCTCCTTCAGAGTCAAAATCAGGAGATGTGAGCCAGGCTAGAGCCACCAGGACCCCAGAACCCCATCCTACTCAACCTCTTCCCCACCATCACAGTCTTGGTAAAACAGAAACAGTTTTCCTCCCTGTCCTCCACCCCAGTCCACCCCCAAAGGAAACCTGTTTACAACTTGATGTGGAATATTCCAGATGTTGTGTAAATTTATTTGACTTTTTTAAGGTTAAAATTTATGTTCCGTGGAGGGAAAATGAAACAGGATACAATCTGCCTTGGAGGAGAGAGAAATGGAGAGAGAATGGTTAGGGTAATAGCCTTGTAGTTGGACAGGAGGAATAGCTTTAAAAAAAGATTTATGGCCGGTGCCGCGGCTCACTAGGCTAATCCTCCGCCTTGCGGCGCCGGCACACAGGGTTCTAGTCCTGGTCGGGGCACCGGATTCTGTCCCGGTTGCCCCTCTTCCAGGCCAGTTCTCTGCTGTGGCCTGGGAGTGCAGAGGAGGATGGCCCAAGTCCTTGGGCCCTGCACCCGCATGGGAGACCAGGAGAAGCACCTGGCTCCTGGCTTTGGATCAGTGCGGTGCGCCAGCTGCAGCGCGCCGGCTACGGCGGCCATTGGAGGGTGAACCAATGGCAAAAGAAGACCTTTGTCTCTGTCTCTCTCTCTCACTGTCCACTCTGCCTGTCAAAATAAATAAATAAATAAAATAAAAAAATAAAAAAAAAGATTTTTTTATTTCGGTGGCAGAGTTAGAGAGAGAGAGAGAGAGAGACAGAGAGAGATCTTCCATCTGTTGGTTTACTCCAAGTGGCTGCAACAGTCAGGTCTGGCCCAGGCCAAAGCCAGGAGCTGAGAACCCTATATGGGTCTCCCATGTGGGTGGCAAGTATCCAAACACTTGGGCCATCTTCCACTGCTTTCCCAGGGACATTTGCAGGGAGCTGGATCAGAAGCAGAGCAACCAAAACTTAAATTGACACTCACATGGGATGCTGGTGTCACAGGGGATGACACTGCTCCACTATGCTAGCCCCTAACTTCTGATGTTCTATGTAACACAGCAGAATAGCTATGGCTGGCAACAATTAGTTGAATATTTTAAAATGGCTGATAGAGAGGATGTTGTATGTTCTCAACACAAAGAAACAGTGTATCTAAAGTGGTAGATTGGGGCCGGCACCGTGGCACAGTAGGTTAATCCTCCACCTTCGGTGCTGGCATCCCATATGGGCGCTGGTTCTAGTCCCAGTTGCTCCTCTTCCAGTCCTGCTCTCTGCTGTGGCCTGAGAAAGCAGTAGAAGATAGCCCCAGTGCTTGGGCCCCTGCACCCGCATGGGAGACCAGGAAGAAGCACCTGGCCCCTGGCTTCAGATCGGCGCAGCTCCAGCCATTGTGGCCATTTGGGGAGTGAACCAACAGAAGGAAGACCTTTCTCTCTGTCTCTCTCTCTCACTGTCTGTAACTCTACCTGTCAAATAAATAAATAAAATCTTTAAAAAAAAAATTGGTATATATACCAGTCATTCCAAACTACATCACACATTGTGTACATGTATTGAAATGTCATAGTTTACTCTGTAAATATGTACAATTACTGTGTGTCAATAAAAATTTTAATTAAAAAAATCTACCTTGACTTTTATCTCATATCCATATCCACCCTCTACAAGTTTATGCACCTTTTCCATCTTTCTCTATGTGTTTTTAATTGTACCTATATCTATTTGCATGGGAAATGTGTCGCTTTATTTTGTGTGCATGTGTTTTCTATAAACACTGACTTTTCACACCTATTATTTCCAGCCACCATCCTATGGAATCTTGAAGATTCCTCCATGTTGGACATACAAGGCTACCTGTTTTAAGCATAATGTGGTATTCTATTAGTTGGCTATATCAATTTATTTATCCTTTTCCTATTTATGTTGTTTCTAATTTTTTCTTTTATCCTTTATAAAAATTATTTCTTTAACTTTGATCAAATTCATGCATGTCATGGTGTAAATATGTCAAATAATATTACAAAGTTTGAACTGGCATTGTGGTGCAGCGAGTTAAGTCACTGCTTACTACACCAGCATCCCATATCAGAGTGCTGGTTTGAGTCCTGGCTGCTCCACTTCCAATCCAGCTCCCTGCTAATGCACTTGGGAAGGCAGCGGGAGATGGCCCAAATGCTTGGGCCACTGTATCCCATGTAGGAGACTCAGATGGAGTTCCTGGCTCTTGGCTTCAGCATATCCCAGACCTGGCTATTGTGGCCATTTGAGAAGTGTACCAGCAAAAAAAGAACTCTGTGTGTGTGTGTGTGTGTCCTTCTGCTTTTCGAATAAATAAATCTTTAAAAATATCACAAGGCTTACAGAAAAAAATCAGTGCCACTTCCTCCATACACATATATTCCATCTCTGAGTCCTGCTCATATAAGAAAATGCCTCGTTACTCTTTCAGCTGTTTCTTCTGGTATTCATGTCCATATGTGTGAATAAGATGCTGAGATGTGATATCTTGGCTTAGCAGCCCTGGTCAACTACCTTCCTATTGTAGAAGCAGGTTTAATGCTTCACACCCACCCACCTGCCTCTCCTCTCTCCATTCTTGCCATAGAGTTACATGATAAATTAGTATTCCCTGTTTACATTTACTGTGGTCATGGAAGTATTTTTTCCTGCCAAGCAGTGGGTCTCAACTGTAACTGGACATTAAATCATGCAGGGAACTTTAAATAACCCTAAAGCTTGCCTGCTCCCCAGATCCATTAATTCTAGGCTCTCCTGGGTTGAGGCCCAGGCATCAGTACTTCTTGCTGCTCCCCAGATGTTTACAATTTTCAGTCAAGAGTAAGAACCATTGTTGAGAAACCAAGTACTGTTACCTTGGTTTCCTTGTTTAATATTTGACTCTGGAATATTTTTTTATACTCAAGCCTAAAGAAGCAGGGTATTTTTTTAAGATTTATTTATTTATTTGAAAGCAGAGTTATAGAGAAGCAGAGGCAGAGAGAGAGAGAGAGAGAGAGAGAGAGAGACAGAAAGAGGTCTTCCATCTGCTGGTTCATTCCCCAAATGGCCGTAACAGCCAGAGCTGGGCCATTCTGAGTTAGGAATTTATTCCAGATCTCCCACATGGGTACAGGGGCCCAGGCACTTGAACCATCTTCTACTGCTTTTTCAGGCCATAGCAGAGCGCTGGATCAGAAGTGGAGCAGCCAGGACTTGAACCAGCACCCATATGAGCCGGCACTGCAGGTGGCGGCTTTACCCAATAAGCCACAGTGCCGGCCCCACTTTTTTTTTTTTTTTTTTTAATATCTGCTTAGTTTTCTATATCTCAGTAATTCTTCTCAAGCCCCTCTGAGTGCTGTCGTCTACACTGTCAAATACAGCAGGTCATTTGCAAATTCCATTTCCTACAGAGACCTTTGAAAAGGTCCTCCACTACAGAAAGGTTGCACTTCCTATGTGGCCTGCCACACAGCTCTCTATCCTTCTCTGTTTCATCCCTGAGCATACTCTGAGTCTGCTGTCTTTCTCTTCCTTGACACGCTCTTTTCATTTTGGTGAAGATCCCTTAGTAGCTTTCTGAGAGATGCTGCATAGGAGTGTATTTGGGGGCTGTTGTATGCCCAAAAATGTTTTGATTTTACACCCAAATTTAGGGGCCGACACTGTGATGTAGTAGGTAAAGCCACTGTCTACAGTGCCAACATCCCATATGGGCGCCAGTTCAAGTCCTGGCTGCTCTTCTTGCAATCCAGCTCTCTGCTATGGCCTGGGAAAGCAGAAGAAGGTGGCCCAAGTGCTTGGTTCCCTGCACCCCTGTGGGAGACGCAGACAACATCCCATATGGGCCCCAGTTCAAGTCCTGGCTGCTCCTCTTGCAATCCAGCTCTCTGCTATGGCCTGGGAAAGCAGAAGAAGGTGGCCCAAGTGCTTGGTTCCCTGCACCCCTGTGGGAGACGCAGAGGAATCTCCCAGCTACTGGCTTCAGATTGGGCCAGCTCCAGCCATTGTGGCCATTTGGGGAGTGAACAAGCAGATGGAAGACCTCTCTCTCTGCCTCTGTCTCTCTGTAACTCTACCTTTCAAATAAATATTAAAAAAAAATTGATGGAATGAAACTTTGGCTCAGTTTAGAATTCTGGAGTTGGAAATTACTTTTCCTAAGAATTTTGAAGCCATTATATCCTAGCACCCAGTGTTGTTTCTGAAAAATGCAATTCTTGTCCTAATCTTTGATTTAGGAACTTGATTGTCTTTATGGTAGGTTTTTGGCTGTTCTCTTTAACTCCAGTAGTCTGAAATTTTCTGTTGATGTGTTCTGCTGTGGCTCTTTTTTGTTTCATTGGCTGGGCATTTGATAGTCCCTTTAAATCTGTAAAGTCATGCTCTTGAATTGTTTTATAACAATTTCCTATACTCCATTTTCATTTCAGAAATCCCTATTAGTTGTATGTTGGACCTCTTGGATTTTTTCTTCTTTTCTTATCTTTCTTATTATTGTACTTTGTGAAGAATTTCTGTAAGTTTCCCTTCTCATCCTCTCATTGAATGTTTTATTTCTGCTTTTACTTTTTTATTTACAAAAGTCTCATATTTTCTGATTGCCTCTGTAGCTGACACTTTTGGTGCTCTAGCCATAATCCTTGGCATTTGCCCCTGCATGTTTGCTGTGAATATTTATGACTGCCCAAGGTCTATTTTCTTCCAGGTGGCAGCCTCAGCCTGAGTGCAGGAAAAGCTGGAAGAAACAAAGGTCAGTTCCCTTGGAAGAAGCTGGAAACTCTGCGCCCACTGGTTGGAATACCTCGGAGGCAAATCCTGCACCATCATCCAGAGTGCCCGGGTGAGATCAAGCTCCATTTGCCAGCGATGGTAACAGATTTGACAGCACACATTTTGTTGTCTTCCTACTCTTCCCTGACTCACTTCTCCAACCCAGTATTTTCTGAAATTTTCTTTTTTTTTTAAGGACTTATTTATTTGAAAGTTAGAGTTACGCCAAGGCAGAGGCAGAAAGGGAGAGGTCCTCCATCCTCTGGTTCACTCCCCAAGTGGACTCAACAGCCAGAGCTGGGCCAATCTGAAGTCAGGAGCCAGGAGCTTCTTCTGGGTCTCCCATGCAGGTGCAGGGGCCCAAGCACTTGGCCATCTTCTGCTGCTTTCCCAGGCCACAGCAGAGAGCTGGATCAGAAGTGGAGCAGCTGGGATTCAAATCTGGGATGCCAGCATTGCAAGTGGCAGCTTTACCTGCTACGCCACAGCGCCAGCCCCCTGAAATTTTCTTCCAAAAATTACTTGTACTGGAATCACTGTCTCAGAGTCTGCTTCTGGAGAAACCCAAACCAAAACAGTCCCTTCCCTTTTTTAAACAGGAACATTTGCTTCTCTTGTGGATGCAATTTATTGATACTAATTATAGTGAGATATAACATTTATTTTTAAAGAATAGCTCCTTTATTTTAAAATTTATTTGAAATAAATTAGTTATTAATATAATAGAATATTAATATAAATTATTTATTGAAAGATAGAATGACAGAGACAGAGATCTTCCATTAGCTGATTCACACACACATACACACACACACACACACCGATGCCTGTAACAGCTAGGCCCAGGCTAGGCCAAAGTCAGGAGCCAGGAACTCAATCCAGGTCTTCCACACAGGTGGCAAGGACCCAAGTATGTGAGCCATCACTTGCTGCCTCCCAGGATGCGCATTAACAGGAAGCTGGAATCAGAAACAAAGTCTGGACTCGAGCCCATGCACTCTGGTATGGGATGCAAGAGCCCCCAGTGGCGTCTTGCCTGCTGTACCAAATGCTCACCCACTAACATATATTTCAAAAGGCTCATTCTTGCTGATGTAAGGAGACTTAACTTGGCTTGTGAGTTTCTGAGATTCCTCCCGTTTCCTCCTGAGAGCAAATGTGCCCGGCTGGCAGCATCTTTGGAGCCAAGTGATAGGCGGGGCCAAGATCCATGCACACTTACAAGTCGTCCTCATTTTTAGTACTGTGCTTCCTCCTGCCCTTTGTCATGATTGGTGTTTTTGGGTCACGAACCTCCCTGGTTCCATTTTTCTCAACTTCTGCCAAGGTGTGGAAAGTATAGCTGCCTGGCCACACCAAATCTGAAAGGTACGCCAACTGGTTATTCCTGTTATAAATGCTATATAAAATTTCACCTCAATCTAATTAAAATGACATCACTCATTTTATTATCTCCCATAGTTTTTGTGGTTGAAGAACTTGGGACGGGCTCAGCTGGGTGGCTGTAGCTTGGGATCCTTCATGCAGCTGCAGCTGGACACTGATTGATGTTGGACCAGTAGGGAACTGGACAGGAGTCCTCTCTTATCTGTGTAGTCTTAGGGCCTCTCCGTATGGTGTCTGCATATCGGCTACTTTGGGCTTCCTCGCAGCGTGGCAGACCCAGAAGTTTCTGATTCCGGCATGAGAGTCCCAGTCTCGAGAATTTTGCAGCATCACTTCCATTGCATTCTTTGGTCACTCCAATTGAGCCTGCCTCAATTCAGTGGGAAGGAGCATAGACTCCAGCTCTCAAGAGGAGGAAGGGCACAGTCACATAGTGGAGTAGCATATGGAATAAAATTTATTATAGTGGCCATCTTGGGAAAATAATCTCCACACTGCTCTCACTACCTCTTATACAGAGGTCCTACTCATGCTTCTGTTTTAATCCCACTCTACCTCCATCCCACCATTCTGGATCAACTCCTAACATTTTGTGGTTTAAGTTCATGAATTTCCTTGATACTTGTGAGGGCCACTATATACAGGTGTGCAAACTGGACAGCACACACGTGCCGTTCACCTGGCAAACACTGTACTTCGTCTATTTTTTGTGATATTTCCCAGCAGATGGAGGTAAAGTGGGAGGGAGAGAACAACAGTGGAGGAGGAGCAGGGGTGCACCAAGGTCAGGGAACAGGGTTGGGAATACATAGTTTTAACCATATTCTGGACTTAAAATTTTTTTCCCTCTTGGCTTTATTCCTATTAACGAGGGTTTCTCAACTTTTGGCACTACTGACTTTAGACTGGTCATTCTTGGGAAAGGGAGCATTGGCACTGTATGTTGTAGGATGTTTAGCAGCCTCCCTGACCTCCATAGGATACAAAGGCACTTTCCCACCCAGTTGTGACAAAAATGTCTCCAGACATTGTTTAGTGTCTCCTGAGGCTGGGAGGGGCAAAATCACACACACACACACACCACACTGAAAACCACTACTGGGGCCAGTGCTGTGGCATAGCGCACTAAGCCCTGGCTTGCAGCGCTGGCATCTCATATGAGCACTAGTTCAAGTCCTGGCTGCTCCACTTCTGTTCCATCTCCCTGGTAATGTGCCTGGGAAAGCAGCAGAGGATGGCCCAAACCCTTGGGCCCCTGCACCCATGTGGGAGACTTGGAAGAAGCTCCTGGCTCCTGGTTTTGGATCAGTGCAGATCCAGCCATCTGGGGAGTGAACCAGTGTATGAAAGACCCCCCCCCACACACACACACTCTGTTTTGGTCTCTGCCTCTCTCTGTAACTCTTTCAAATAAGTAAAATAAATTTTTAAAAAAGGGATAAAAGGAGCTGGTGCTGTGGCGTAGCGGGTTAAGCTGCCGCCTGCAGTGCCGGCATCCCAGCTACTCCACATCTGATCCAGCTCTCTGCTGTGGCCTGAGAAAGCAGTGAGAGATGGCCCAAGTCCTTGGACCCCTGCACCCATGTGGAAGACCCAGAAGAAGCTCCTGGCTCCTGGTTTCGGATTGGTGCAGTTCTGGCTGTTGCAGCCAATTGGGGAATGAACTAGTAGATGGAAGACCTCTCTTTCTCTCTCTGCCTCTCCTCCTCTTTCTGTATAACTCTGACTTTCAAATAAATAAATAAATCTTTAAAAAAAGAGGGAAAAAAAAGCAAATAAAATACCAAGAAACTAGATGGAAGTAAATAATAAAGATAGAGCAAAAAGCAATGAAAAAGAACACAAATATTCAATAAAGAAAAACAAAACAAAAATAGCTTATTGAAATATGCTAATAAAAACCATAATTCTTATTAAAAAAAAAAAACACTACTCTCAACTGACCTGAAGACTTCTTAGCAATTGTAACCCAGTCAGCTGTCTTCCTTTTTTCTGTAACAAATAATTATTTATGATTTTCTATTTTTTCAACATTCTATTCTGTAGGCATTTATAGGAGGTTAATTCTTCTTAATTTACTCTTAGGTCTTTCTTATCAAGTTTATTTACTGGCTTTCTTTTAAAGAATTTTGAGGGCCAGCACTGTGGCTCACTTGGCTAATCCTCCGCCTGTGGCGCCGGCATCCCATGTGGGCGCCGGGTTCTAGTTCCAGTTGCTCTTCTTCCAGTCCAGCTCTCTGCTGTGGCCCAGGAAGGCAGTGGAGGATGGCCCAAGTGCTTGGGCTCTGCACCCGCATGGGAGACGAGGAGAAGCACCTGGCTCCTGGCTTTGGATCAGCACAGCGCCAGCCATAGTGGCCATTTGGGGGGTGAACCAACAGAAGGAAGACCTTTCTCTATGTCTCTTTCTCTCATTGTCTAACTCTATCTGTCAAATAAATTTAAAAGAAAAGAATTTTGAAAATCTTTAAAATGTGATACATTTGGGTCGCTAGGGAACCTTCCTTATGTGGGCATGGTTGATGAAGCCATTGGCCATTGGTTTATCGACTCAAACTTATGTGATAAACTTAAACTTTAATTAAATTATCTTTTGTTCAAAAGACAGAGACAGAGAGAGGTCTTTCATCCACTGGTTCACTTTCCAAATCCTCACAGCAGCCAGGGCCAAGCCAGGCCAAAGCCAGGAGCCTAGAACTCAATCCAGAGGGCTAGCGTTGTGGCATAGCCACAACACTAGCATCCTATATGGGTGCCAGTTCCAGTCCCAGCTGCACCACTTCCAATCCAGCACCCTGCTAATGCACCTGGGAAAGCAGTGGGAGATTGCCCAAGTTATTGGGCCCCTGCTCCCACAAGGGGAACCCAGAAGAATCTCCTGGCTCTTGGCTTTGATCTGTCCCAGCCCCCGCTGTTGTGGCCATTTGAGGCATGAACCAGCAGATGGAAGATCTCTGTCTCTCTCTCTTTCTTTCTGTAACTCTGTCTTTCATATAAATAAAATCTTTCAAAAAAAAAAAAAGAACTTAATTCAGATCTATCTGCATGGCAAGGGCCCAAGTACTTGAGCCATAATCTGCTTCCTCCCCGGGTGTACATTAATGGAAAGCTGGAATGGGAAATGGAGCCAAGAGTCAAACCCAAGTATTCCAATATGGAATGCAGACATCCCAAGTAGCATCTTGGTGTCTTTTCTTTTTCTTTTTTTTTTTAATGTGTGTATTTATTTTCTGAATGCAGAGTGATGGAGGAAGGGGGAAGAGGGGATCTTCCATCTGCTGGTTCACTTTCTGAATAGCTGGGTCTGGTCAAGGTCAAAGCTGGGAGCCAGGAACTCCATCTTGATCTCTCACAGGGGTCTCAGAGGTCCAGATGCTTGGGTCAGCTACATGAGCAGGGAGCTAGATTGGAAGCAGAACAGTTGGGACTTGCTCTGACGCTCCAATACAGAATGCTGTTGTCACAAGAGGCACATTAACCAGCTGTGCCACAACACCAAGTCCCCCAAGCAGTATCTTAACCACTGCGCCAAACATCCACTCCTCAAATGTCATACACATTTATTGCTAAGAATTGGGGGATATAAGAAAGCACAGGGAAAGAAATTAAAAATTTCCCTTAAGCTCTCCTTCAGATAACCATGATAATGTTATTTTGTTGATTATTCTTTTACTTTCCAGTCTTTTTCTCTCTCTTTCTCTGTATGGAAGGTATGTATGTATATTGCGATATTGTGAAATATACTGTCTTAGTCCATTTTCCGTTGCTGTAACTGAATAACTGAGACTGGGTATTTCATAAAGAAAAGAAATTTATTTCTTACAGTTCTGGAGGCCGCCAAGTCCACATGGACGGGCCTCATCTAGTGAGGGTTTTCTTGCTGCTGGCAGTGGGGAGGAGGACATTCTGAGTCCCCAGAAGTACACCTGAGAGAACCTAACAGACTTATTCTCGAGATAACCAATTAACCCATGACCTAATCACCTCTTAAATGTCCCACCTGGTCCCACCTCCTACTGCGTCACAGTGGGGATTGAATGTCAATATGAATTTTGGGGGTGACGTTCAAACCACACCACCTACATTTGGTCTTCATCTCTGTTTCCTGATGGACAGTTCCTTAAATTCTTGTAACCTCCAGAGTGACAATGGGGGTGGGAGGTGGTGGAAGAAACAGGCTCAAGTTTGAGTCGATAAACCAATGGCCAATGGCTTCATCAACCATGCCCACATAAGGAAGGTTCCCTAGCGACCCAAAAGGATGGGTTCTGAGAGCTTCTGGACATGTGGGTTCCTGGGAGGTTGTGCACCCAGAGAGGGCATGGAAGCTTTGCCCCTTCTCCCTTTCCTCACCTTGCCCTGTACATCTCTTCATCTGTAGCCTTCATAACATCCTTCATCATAAGTAGGTACATGTAAGCAGAGGATTTCCCTGAGTTCTGTGAGCTGCTCTAGCAGTTTCATCAACTTTAATGAGGTGGGTGTGGAGACCTCAACGTATAGCCAGTTGGTCAGAAGTGCAGGCCACAACTGATGCTTTGATTGCCTGCTGAAGTGGGCAATCTCGTGGGACGAAGCCCATGACCTTGGGCTCTGACACTCTCTGCCCCTAGACAACATCATAACTGAATTAAATTAGAGGGCATCCAGCAGGTGTTTGCTGGAGAATCTACCAGAGAATTGTTTGGTGGGTGGAGCATCCCTCTACCCAAAAATGGGGTCAAAAGTCTTGAGTGATTCTGTGAGAGCAGAGAATAGGAAAAAGCACTTGGCTTTTTCTCTTTTCCCATTTCCTTCACATATATGTACACATGTGTGTATAACGTTTTAAATAAAACCTCTTTTCATATGGTAGCATTATAATATGTCTCCCTGCTGTAAGCACCTTTTGCAATCACTTCGTATTTGCACATTGGGCAGTTCACCCTACAGCTCAAGTTCTGATGTCTGTGTTGACAAAGGCCATCACTGGTCACTATCTTGTGTGAAATACAGAGAACGACCGCTGTTCCCTCTCAAAGCATAACTTGAAGAATATTAAAAACTTAAGTCCCATGTACTGAGCATGTACCCAAGATGGAGTTAACTTGTTAATAGGCAAACAGCAAGTGATAAACATGATGCAAAGGAGAATTAGAGGGAAAGGGATTATATGGTCCCTCGGGAAAGGCAGCTTCAAATCAGTCTGCTAAGTTAGAGACAAACTGATTAATATCCTAGGCTGGCGCCGCGGCTCAGTAGGCTAATCCTCCGCCTTGCAGCGCCGGCACACCGGGTTCTAGTCCCGGTCGGGGCGCTGGATTCTGTCCCGGTTGCCCCTCTTCCAGGCCAGCTCTCTGCTGTGGCCAGGGAGTGCAGTGGAGGATGGCCCAAGTACTTGGGCCCTGCACCCCATGGGAGACCAGGAGAAGCACCTGGCTCCTGCCTTCGGATAGGCGCAGTGCACCGGCCGCAGCGCGCTGGCCACGCCGGCCATTGGAGGGTGAGCCAACGGCAAAGGAAGACCTTTCTCTCTGTCTCTCTCTCTCACTATCCACTCTGCCTGTCAAAAAAAAAAATCCTATAGATATTACATAGATGTGGACATCTGGCACAGTGGTTAAGATGCTGCTTGGGATGCCCTTATTCCATCTCAGAGTGCCTGGTTTTGAGTCTCAGCTACCCCACTTCTCTTCCAGCTTCCTGCAGATGCTCACCCTGAGAGGCAGAAGATAATGACTCAAGTACCTGGGTCTCTGCCACCCACGTAGGAGACTCAGATTGAGGTCCAGGCTGGCTTTAGCCTGGCCCAAGCCTGGCTATCGCAGGTGTTTGGGGAGTGAACTAGTGGATGGAAGATCTCTTTCCATTTGTGTCTCTGCATTTCAAATAAAATGAAAACAAATAAATAAGCATAAAGTATATTATACAGGGCAGTACAACTATAACCTTTAGGATTATCTTTTCTACCAGACAAAAATCATTTGCATCTCTATGAAATGAAGTTCTACAAGTAAGCATGTAACTCTACAGATTCTAGGTCCCAGTCAACAGAAAAACTCAAGTCCAGCAAAGGAACACTTTTTTTATAGTGGAACACTCAGGAGTGATCTGTGAGACCACACTATGGCTTGCCGCCCACTTTCTGCCTTATTTCCAAGTTTTCAGTAATTTTTCTTTTTTTGTTAAGATTTATTTATTTATCTGAAAGTCAGAGTTACACAGAGAGAGGAAGAGACAGAGAATGTGTGAGAGAGATCTTCCATCCATTGGTTCACTCCCTAAAATGGCTGCAATGGCCAGGGCTGTGCCAAGTCGAAGCCAGTGGCCAGAAGCTTTTTCCGGGTCTCCCATGTGGTTGCAGGAGGTGCAGGGACTTGGGCCATCTTCCCTGCTTTCCCAGACATGTTAGCAGGGAGCTGGATTGGAAGTGGAGCAGCTGGGTCTCAAATCCCATATGGGATGCCAACATTGCAGGCGGCGGCTTTACCCACTATGCCACAATGCCAGCCCCTTCAGTAATTTTTCTTAATAGCCCCTTTCTTTCCTCTAGTTCCCCGAGCAAATTCAGCACAGTGTTCCCTAAGGGGAAGTGGACAAGTTTCCTTTCATTTCCCATTTTCTTCCCCTTGAACCTACACTTTGGGAAAGCAGGGACAGTCCTCAGGGACCTGGATATTTCCAATTAGTGGCTCTTGGCCAGTTTTCCTCATCCATGGGGCTCTGCTCCTTTCTTTTCTTCTTCCTTTGTTACCTGCTTTCAGTTTTAAAAATATGTAACTTTCATTGAGATATAATTGACATGCCATACACCCAGGTAAAGCATACAATTCCATGGCTTTTAGTATATTCATAGAGCTGTGCAATCAGTTTTAGAACATTTTTCATCACCCTAAAAAGAAATCCTATACCCATTAGCAATCATCCCTGTTTCTACCCAGCCCCTGGCAACCATTCTGTCTCCATGGATTTGCCTGTTTGGGATATTTCCTGTCATTTGAATCATGCCATCTGTGGATCCTTTATGATGGTCTCCTCTAATGATTGTTTAAAATTTATTTTATTTATATGACAGAATTAAAGAAGAGGGAGATTCACAGAGAAATCTTCCATTCTCTGGTTCACTCCCCAAATGGCTAAAACAGCCAGAGCTGGGCCAGAAAGAAGCCAGGAGCCGGAAATTTCATTCATGTCTTCATGTGGGTGCAGGGGCCCAAGGACTTGGGCCATCCTCCTCTGCTTACCTAGGTGCATTAGCAGGGAGCTGCATCAGAAGTGGGGCAGCCAGGACTCAAACCGGCACCTACATAGGATGCCAGCATTGCAGGCAGTGGCTTTACCTGCTATGCCACAATGCCAGCTCTTTCTCTAATGTTTTTAAGATCCAACCATCTTGCAACATGCATCAACACTTCATTCCTTTTCATTTGACAAACACCATTCCATCGGAGAGATATGCCACATTTTATTTATCTGCTCAATCAGTTGACGAACCCATGAGTTGTTTTCACCTTGGGGCTATAATGAAACATGCTGCTGTAAATACTTGCTACAAGTTTGTTTGTTTTGGTGGACATGTGTTTTAATTTCTCTTGGATAAATACCTAGGAGTGGAATTTCTGGGTCCTATGGTAATGCTAAGTCAAACCTTTCTAGCCAGAGTGCAGCCAAGATGTTTTTCAAAGTAGCTGCACCATGTTACATTCCCAGCAGCAGTGTAGGCTATTTTCATCTTCATTCATTGATGGATGGTGGTAACTACATGGTTTACTATGTGCCAGTCAGTGTGCAAAGTGTATGAGAATTCTCATTTCTCTGTATCCTTATTAATACTTGTTATTAGCTGTTTTATTGTTGATGTTATTATAGCCATCTTAGTGGACAGGAAATGGTACCTCATTGTGATTTTGTGGTCTTGCTTCTTAGACCAGTCTCATTCAGAAATCAATTTCTCGGGCCCAGTATTATGGCATAGGTGGTTAAGCCACCACTGGCATCCCATATGGATGCCAGTTTGAGACCCACCTGCTCCACTTCTTAGCCAGCTCCCTGCTAATGCACCTGGGAAAGCAGCAGAAGATGGCCCAAGTCCTTGGGCCCCTGCAGCCATGTGGGAGACCTGGAAGAAGATCCTGGCTCCTGGCTTCAGCCTGGTCCAGCCCTGGTCATTGTGGCCATTTGGAGAGTGAACCAGTGGATGGAAGACCCCTCTCTCTGTCTCTCTTCTCTCTAACTCTTCCTTTCAAATAAATAAAAAGAAATCAATTTCTCACTCAATCGGAGGCACCTAGTGCTGTGCCCTCCAGTTAGCCTTGTTTCTGTTTGTGCATTGAGTCTGGTTGATGAGTGAAGAAAGACTGCCTTGCTGAGCCATCCCACAAATGGGTGCCCCCAACAGGGCAGGACCTGGGAACCAGATACCCGTGGAAAATAGAGGTGATGAAAGCCCAGAGTTGTTGTTTGAGACAGAGGAAGGAGGAATGGAGCCTGGCCCTGGGCTGGGCCCCTTCAAGGAGGTCCTAGACAACTGTAAGGTGTCAGCTGAGGGCTACAGGAAACAAAATGACCTTTTCCACCCCCCTGCTGTGCTGTCAGAGATTCCACTGCACTCCCAGAAGTAAGTGAATGAGTTGCTGCCATTTAAAAAATGTGGATCCTTCTGGGAGGGGCAGGCATCCTGCAAGAAGTCAATACCTTATTGTGAATTTGTTTATCAGATGCCAGCCCACAGCCTGCGGGGGACAGGGCTCAGAGGAAGTGGGAGTTTGGGCTCACTGAGCAGGGAGGGAGGGGCGCGCTGGTTGTAAAGGACTGGCTCTGCTCAAGGGTCCCTTCCAGCGTGTTGAGACAGGGCCAAAATTGGGTCAATGAGGGTAAACGTTCAGCTCCATTCATCAACGGACACTCCGTGGGCGGTGAATGTAATTTATGACATGCTGCACAGGGCGCTGGGTGCTTTGCATAGAGTTTTTCTATTGTATGTATCTATTAATTTATTTTACATACACTTACAGCACAGTCTGCCACCGCCTGTCTCACACTCCACCTGTCACATCTTGTTAGCTCCCCTGAAAAGTGATCCCCAAGTACGAACATTCTTTAGGACCTTCCTGGCTGTCCTCCTCACTTACCTGGTGTACTGCACGTCTTGCTGATTTCTCAATTTTGTATTCAATCCTTTATAAAGCAGTGTCTTCTTCTGTTCCAAATGTCCCAATGGCTTCCTGTTGTGGTCACTATCAAAGCAGAATCCTTCTAAGACTCTATAAAGCACTCCCTGGACCATGCCCCCTTTACCAGCAGCCACCAGCTGCTCCTTGCTTAGCCACAGGACATCTGCTGTTCCTCCAACATACCAGCACGCTTCTGCATAGAACACACTTCTTCAGGGATCCACACGGCTGATGTCCTCCCCTGCTCTAAATCACAGCTGAAAATCACCCCCTCAGAGAGGTCTTTCTTAACATTCCCTCACATGGGCTGGCGCTGTGGCGTGGCGAGTAAAGCTGCTGCCTGCAGTGCCGGCATTCCATCTGGGCACCGGTTCCAGTCCTGGCTGCTCCACTTCTGATCCAGCTCTCTGCTATGGCCTGGGAAAGCAGTGGAAGATGGCCCAAGTGCTTGGGCCCCTGCACCCACGTAGGAGACCCAGAAGAAGGTCCTGGCTCCTGGCTTCATATTGGCGCAGCTCCAGCTGTTGCGGCCAATGGGGGAGTGAACCAGTGGATGGAAAACCTCTCTCTTTCTCTCTCTCTCTCTCTCTCTGTAACTCTGACTTTCAAATAAATAAATCTTTAAAAATTTTTTTTCTTATGTGCCTAAAAGAGCCCTATATTGCTGGCTTACTCACTGTCAGAAAAGAGGGTTACAAATACAGAAAGTGAGAACGAGAATGAATGGTGTTGTTGGAATTTTAGAGTATTACCTCATGCTTTTCAATATGCATGAATGGAAGTAGAAATAAAGGTGCAAATGGTGTGTGTGTGCTGGTGCACACACATGTGAGTGTGTGGACACACTTGTGTTCTCTATCTCAGTCCACGCGCGAAGCCCTGGGAGCAGCAGTGGTCTCCTGAGAATGAGCACTCATGCCTGGATCTTGACTTCTAAACCCTATTCTCCACTAAAAGGATTGACAAAGTGATGGCTGATTCCAGGGCTGGAGCAGGAAAAGTATAAGATGAGCCTGGAGCATCTTTTTTTTTTTTTTTTTAAGATGTATTTATTTACTTGAAGTCAGAGTTACAGAGAGAGAGGGAGAGATCCAAAGTGGAGCTGCCAGGACTCGAACCGGTGTCTATACAGGATGCCAGCATGTCAGGCAGCAGCTTTCCATGCTATGCCGCAATGCCAGCCCCTGGAGCATCCTGTGTCAAAAAAAAAAAAAAAAAAAAGTGCTCAAGGGGCAAGGGGATGCTTCAAAAAGAAAAAGGAGCCAGCTGGAAGGGGCTCCCACCAGCCAGATATGGCTCAGGTGGAGCACCAAAATTGTTCATGATAACTGAGTGTAATTCATTCACAGAATGAAATAAGCATCCATAAGTCCATAAGATATAAGTAGAAAATTTGAAAGGATCAAGATAATTATATGGTTTTCAAAATCCTCCCTTCCAAAATATGTTTTCATTAAAAAGGTAAAAAGAGTAACTTCACAGTGGAGAAACCTGGCAGCCACCACCTGGGTAATTAACCAGCTGAAGTTACTATCTGCAGTAATGGGACAATTGCATGCCACCTGGTAGGTTGCAGGGAGCGCACAGCTCTATCCGTGTGATCTTTTTGCCAAAGGCACAAGTACATAATCTGAATCAAATTGTGAAGACGCATCAGATAACCCCGAACTGATTCCACAAAATAACTGGCCTCTAGTTTTCTAAAAGACATTAAGGAACTGTTCTAAACTGGAAGACAGGAAAAAACACAGCTACATAATCCATGTAGTTCTAGAGGGGATCGCGTAGCTCTGAAGGACATTATTGGGGCAAATGGCAATGTTGAAAAGGGATCTAAAAAGATTTAGGTGGTCATAATGTATTGGTGTTAGCAGAATGATGCAATTTTTTTGGTAATTTGGGTGAATCTCTGCTGGACTCATTGACAGTTCCAGCAACGGCCAGATGCCTAGTGTGGTTGCAACTGGTGCCGTCGACTCCCAACCAACCTTTCTCCACTGTCCTCTGTGTCTCCTCCACTTTCTCAGTGGACAGGTTGGTCATCACCCCAGGCATGTGGAGTTTTGGTTTTCTTCTTGGGCTTGGATTGTGCTTCCTGGAACTGGCGTATTATCCACTGTGGGCAGCCGAGCTGGCAGATCCTGTCACGTAGGGTCCACTACTAGTATCTGGGCTTTCATTCCACCTTCCAGTCAAACGTGAGACTTGAGCAAGTATGCATAGTGGTGCGCTTCCTCCAACAAAAAGTAAAGCTTGCATATGCAGCATCTTTCAGTTTAGTTTTTCTTGGGGTAGCTAGCAACGATGGTGAAAATAAAAAGCTGTCGAATCTCACACTCGAGTCTTTTGAACAGATGCCCCAAGGTGAGGAAGAGAAGGGGCTGGTGTGCAAGAAGATAAGCCCGACTCAAAGGAGTGCCTCTCTGTTCTTTTGCCCACAATAATCAAAGCAGCTGGCCTTTCTGGAGAGTAAGTTTTCCTGCTTCAAAATAACACCAACTGTAAAATGACAGACAAGTATCTGATTTCTGCTGGTGACAAAGTGACAGGGACTGCTGGTGCTGTCAAGTTTTATTTTATTTTGACTACGTCTGTAACAGAAGAAATGCTAAATTTTATTTAGAGGTCAGTGAAGAACAATGTGATTTTTTTTTCGTCCAAGCTTATGAACCTGCTAAGTTCCAGCCACTGGCCCCAATTAAGGACATCTGAATTAATACATGATGTGTCTTGGGGCCGGCGCTGTGGCGGAGCGGGTAAGGCTGCTGCCTGCAGTGCTGGCATTCCATATAGGCACCGATTCAAGTCCTGGCAGCTCCACTTCTGATCCAGATCTCTGCTGTGGCCTGAGAAAGCAGTATAGGATGGCCCAAGTGCGTGGGCCCCTTCACCTGCCTGGGAGACACGGAAGAAGCTCCTGGCTCCTGGCTTCAGATCAGTGTAGCTCCAGCCATTGCAGCCAACTGGGGAGTAAACCAGCAGATGGAAGACCTCTCTCTCTCTCTGCCTCTGCCTCTCTGTAACTCTGCCTTTCAAATAAATAAATAAATCTTTGAAAAAAAACAAAATATATGATGTGTCTGAAAGTCTGGATAGCAATGTGAAAAAAGTCACTGTAGAAAGCTCAGAGAGATGATTTGGGTTTTGACTGGGGTGAAAACTGTGGGCAGCGACAACAGAATGGAGGTGAGTAGCCATCTGGAGAGAAAGCCAGCTGGACTTGGTGATGGATGGGACGTGGGAGCTGGTGGAAATTCTTGGCAGTTTGGTTGCACTAAGAGATACTGCAGAAGAGCAGTGCAGCTTCTGAGGCATCATGGCTTTGCCAGATGCTATGGGTGCCTGCTACTGTAAAGTTTCCCCCTCTCGCCCCAGCCATGTGGAGTGTGTTCCCCAGGACACCTTCCACGATACTCCCTTCTATCTGCCCTCCTGTCTACCCTCCAGAATCCCCCCTCCACCTTTGCATTTCTGAAACTCCAGGAGTAAGGATGCATCTGCTAGACTTTGTAGTCCTGACCTTGTAAAGTGCAAACACCTTGGAGATAGTTGACTATTCCTGGTCCAAAGAGCTTGAAACCTGATGTGGCTTGGACTTTGGATTTTTTTGAACCATGGAGTTTTGCATACGTGCGATGAGATCTCTTGGGAATGGGACCCAAATCTGAACACAACTTCACTTATGTTTCATATATATCTTATACACATAACCTGAAGGTAATTTTACACGATATTTTTAGTGTTTCTGCATTTTGATTGTGACCTGTCACATGAGGTGAGGGGTGGCATTTTCCACTTGTGGTATCCTGTCAGTGCTCAGAATGTTTTGAATTTTGGAACATTTTGGATTTTTGGGTTATGATGCTCAGCCTGTACTTACATCTTATTCTGAATGGATTTAGCCATCCTTCTCACAGAGTGTTAGGTGAGTTAAAGCTCACTGGAAACAGGTGAGTGCCGGACAGGCTACAAATGTGTCCATTTCCCTGCCAGATAGGCTGAATGAAAGGAGCTCTCATGGGAGCACCAACAGAAAATCCCCATTCCGGTGACTCTCACATGGGCCATGCTGTGCCACATCCCCACCTCTTCCCTCAGCAGCACGCTCGGGACAGAGGACGGAGGACAGGATGGGTTGCACTGTAAGGATGATGGCAACAGAAAGAATAAAAAATGATATCGCTTAGGAATTTGTATGCAATGTACCCAGGTGGAATTTATCCAGTTGGGCCCTAATTAACACATTTTATTCACCCACCTGGATCCTCAAAGACACGCAAAGGTGAGAGTACAGCATTCCTCAGGGCTATGGAGAATTCAGAACCCTACTTTTCCCCTCTACCTTTTCCCAACAGGTGGAAAGCCCCTATTGACCCATAGTTATTAGAGGGAGGATTAGGATAGACAATAGCCTGGAGACCTTGAGTTTTTTCCTTGCTGATTAAAAAAGTCAAATCTTATAATTCCAGGACCCAAAAGGATCTAATTTCCTTCTAGTTCTTTTCCTTTGCATTCTTACATATTTGAGAACTTAACCATGTACACTTTGAAACAAAAGAAAGCCAAACAGAAGAACATAGATTGTACCATACATACTTACGTGGTAAAAATAGGCTGGAAAGATGCACACTGAACGTGGGAATGTAAAAGGCAACAAAGGTAAGTTTCACTTTTTGCTTTACTGATTTATGAGTTTCTAGAAAAATGTTTATTAATGTTAAAATATTCATGACACTTGGTAAAGATGGTAAGACAGACTTCATTCAAAGGGGAACATGGAACTGCGTTTAGGGACCGTTGTAACAGGGTCTTGCAATTTGGGAGAATATTGGGGCTCAACTCCATCAAAGACGAATGGAGATTTATAACCAAAGAAGCAAGTGGTCAGCAGTTGGACAATCATTAAGAGGAGATATCGGGGGTCTCCCTCTCTTGGAGCCCCCTCCTGACTGCTGCAGCGGGAGGTTTCTGACATCAATAAATCTTGCTTTGCTTGCTGAGTTGTCCGTGTGGACATTTTTTTACGTGAGACAAGAACCAAGATCTCTTTTCTTTGCCAACATTTTACCCATAACAGCGTGGTGCCGTGACTTGGATCCAGTTTGAATTCGCCTCGCCAGACTGGTGAGCAAGCAGATTGCTCTTGCTTCCGTTTCTTGAGAGCCTCATTCTCCTCTGTAGTAACTCTCTCTTCGCAAGAACGCTGGGTCCCTGTCAGCCAGTTCTAAGCACTTAGCCTGGCTGCTGGTCAGGCTTACTGAGTAGGCTGGAGCGGTCCTCTGGACCTGAGGCTCTGTACTCCCCCTCTCAGCTCTGGGAATGTTGGGTTTCCTATTGTGGGGCTCAGTCCATCACACAAGACTGGAGAAAGTCTTAGAGCAGCTGTGAAAGCAGGCCAGGGCCACACTCTGGTGTTTTTCAAAGGCTCCTTGCCTGGACACTAGACTCTGACAGCCCGTTAGGGTGTCGAGCTGAAAACCGCATTCTGTTCTTCTTTCTTCGGAGATCAATTTGTCAGTGAGGCTGGGCGTGCTTTGGAATGAGGCCATGGGCTCCGTGCCCCTGCCCCAATGGATCCTTTCTTCACCCCGGACCCTAAGACCATCTGTATCTCTCTTTCTGCTGGTCTCACTCTGGATGCTCTCCTCACCTCGCCAAATCTCCTCAGTTCCTACAAACTTGAATTCCAGGTCCCATTAGCCGCTATTTCCTTAGACATCTGGTTGGTTCTGGGTCAGAGTTTACATAGCCCTTTCACAGATAGGCAGCTGACTCCTCATTAGCTGTAGATCCCCTGGTGACCGGGACTTGTGGAGACAAATCTTCCAGCATGTTCTCTGATATTCCCTTTCTTCCCTCTTTTTGGGCCACCTCTGTCAGGTCCTTCCTATACCTCAGAGGAAGGTCACTGGAGAGACTTTATTCCCCACCATGCTCTTTTATCCCTTCACCTGCCTGGTTACCAACCGAGGTGATGGCCAACTCTGGTACCCTGCCTCCAAACTCTAGCTCAAGACACCTTTGTCGTGAAGACTCATTGTCAAAATAAGGCCCATAAGATAGGACTCATGGGTAAGAGGTGTAGAATAACTATTTCTCTTCATGTAGAGGAACAAAATGATGGTGTGTATTTGACCGGGCAGGGGCCCAGGTCTGGCCGGCCACTGGTAAAGAGAGCTGATTACTCCCTACACATGCTGTTCTGACAAATACATACCCTAGTTAGAGGCATGGAAGGCTGAACGAGCATGGTTATATGTGCTGGTCCCAACTCCACCTTCCTCCCATCTCTGTGGGCTTCAGTGCACATCTGGACACCACAGGCCACAAGAGAGTTTTGAGAGATGTCTCAAACTTAGGAGAGATAAGAGCTGAAAGACACTTCTGTTTCTTATCCTCTCATTCCAGATGGGAAACAAACTGTCTACAATAGTCATTCTCTAGGGTTGGATTCTTAAACCTTGGGATTCCTTTGACACCCCCAGAGCTTAATGGAAAAAAAAGTCTGATCTTTTTCTGTACCACCACATGGCGCAGTTACAAGCTAGAGGATGGAGAAGGTTAGCCTACGTGGTTTGAGGTTCCGTATATCCAGAATTTCTTTGTGCTGAACTATCCCTGATAGATCTGGGGCCACAGGAAGTTCCCTCCACCTTCTTAGAAGACTTGAGGGAGACCTTAAAGAAATATATTCCATTAGATTCTTGACTCTGTAGAGGGACAGGTGGTTTTAAAAAGACAGAATCCTAATCCAGTCTGCCCAGACATTAGGAGAAAGCTCCAGAGAATTACAGTAAGACCTGATAGTACCCTAGACAACCTCTTAAAGGTGGCCACCATGGTCTTTTAAAACATCGGTGGGGGTGGGGGGATGGGGTTGGGGGGCTGGCACTGTGGCATAGCGGGTAAAGCCACCTGCAGTGCCGGCATCCCATATGGAAGCTGGTTTGAGAGCCGGCTGCTCCACTTCTGATCCAGCTCTCTGCTATGACCTGGAAAGCATTAGAAGATGGCCCAAGTGCTTGGGCCCCTGCACCCATGTGGGAGACCTGGAAGAATCTCCTGGTTCCTGGCTTTGGATCAGTGCAGCTCCAGCTGTTGCAGCCATTTGGGGAGTGAACAAGCAGATGGAAGACTCATTCATTCTCTCTCTCTCTCTTTCTGCCTCTGCCTCTCTGTAACTCTGACTTTCAAATTAATAAGTAAATCTTAAAAAAAATCAGGAGGAGACTCAATAACAGAGCAAAAGGATAAGAGAAGGGGAGAGCTCCAGTGAGACCCCGAGGAAGCTCCCAAGTGCTTTTGTTGCAAAAGCAGTTGACACTTCACCAAGGGTTATCAAAAAGGACCCCTAGGGTCATGTCCTATTTGCAGAGATCATTGGAGATTTGACTGCCCCGAAGGCCAAGAACTCCAGGGTCAAGCATTTCCAACTGGCCGGCGCCGCCGCTCAATAGGCTAATCCTCCACCTAGCAGCGCCAGCACACCGGGTTCTAGTCCCGGTCAGGGCGCCGGATTCTGTCCCGGTTACCCCTCTTCCAGGCCAGCTCTCTGCTGTGGCCCGGGAAGGCAGTGGAGGATGGCCCAAGTACTTGGGCCCTGCACCCCATGGGAGACCAGGATAAGTACCTGGCTCCTGCCATTGGATCAGCGCGGTGCGAGCCAGCCGCAGCGGCCACTGGAGGGTGAACCAACGGCAAAGGAGGCAAAGGAAGACCTTTCTCTCTGTCTCTCTCTCTCTCTCTCACTGTCCACTCTGCCTGTCAAAAAAAAAAAAAAAAGCATTTTCAATAGATTTCCCATTCTGGACTGAAGGGGCCCAGGGCTCTCCTTACAGGCTCCAGTGACCCATCAGGTCAGCACTCAGGAGCCCCAGGTGGTTCTCGTGGTGAAAGGAAAGCCTATACATTGTCTTCTGGATACAGAGAACAACTTTCTCTGTTACTTGCTCTAGCTTTGGCCTCCTCTCAAACAGCAACTATAAAAGGTGTCTCAGGAGCCTGCCAAGGTAGATAGCTCACCCAGTCTTGAGCTATGTCTGGAATGATCTAATGTTTACTCACTGCTTTTTTTTTTTTTTGGACAGGCAGAGTTAGTGAGACAGAGAGACAGAGAGAAAGGTCTTCCTTTCATTGGTTCACCCCCCAAATGGCCGCTACAACCGGTAGGCACTGTGCTGATCTGAAGCCAGGGGCCAGGTGCTTCTTCCTGGTCTCCCATGGAGGTGCAGGGCCCAAACACTTAGGCCATCGTCCACTGCCCTCTAGGGCCACAGCAGAGAGCTGGACTGGAAGAGGAGCAACCAGGACAGAACTGGTGCCCCAACCGGGACTAGAACCTGGTGTGCCGGCGCCACAGGCGGAGGATTAGCCTATTGAGCCACAGTGCCAGCCTACTCACTGCTTTCTGATCATACCAGAGAGCTCAGCTCCTTTACTAGGCCGAGATCTCCTGGCCCAGATGAAGACCACAGTTCTGAAAGGAGCGGGGGAGACTTTGCCTCCCTCTGACAAAGTTAACATCAATCCCTAAGTAAGAGTGCCCAGGGAGGGGCCGGCGCTGTGGTGCGGTGGGTTAACACCTTGGCCTGAAGCTCCAGCATCCCATATGGGCACCGGTTTGAGATACAGCTTCCACTTCCAATCCAGCTCTCTGCTGTGGCCTGGGAAAGCAGTAGAAGATGGCCCAAGTCCTTGGGCCCCTGCACCCGCTTGGGAGACCAGGAAGAAGCTCCTGGCTCCTGGCTTCAGATCCGCGCAGCTCCAGCTGCTGTGGCCAAGTGGGGAGTGAAGAGTGAACCATCAGATGGAGGACCTCTCTCTTTCTCTCTGCCTCTCCTCTCTCTGTGTAGCTCTGACTTTCAAATAAATAAATCTTAAAAAAAAAAAAAAAAGAGAGAGAGAGTCCAGGGAAAAGTTGGTCGGGCTATCACTGCTCAGCCTGTCCAGGTTCATTTTAAAGACCCATCCTCCTTTCCCCATCAGAGAAAACATCCACGAAAGCCTGAGACTCAGAAAAGACCAAGAATCATCATAGATAATCTCAGGATGCAGGGGATTTTAAATCCATGCAACAGTCCCTGCAACACTCCAGGTCTAGGGGTTCAAAGGCCAGGTGGAGACTAGACTAGCACAGCATCCCTGCCTCATTAATGGGGCAGCCGTGCCCATACATCTTGGGTTCCTAATCCCATACCTTGCTACCTTGCTACTGCTACCCTCAGTCTCACATCTAAATTCTTGTGCGAAGACAAAACCTCTTTTCCAGCCAAAGTCTCTTGGCCACACTCATGCAGGAGGAGTATCTTAAAAGAGGCCTAGGCCTGGCCGGCGCCATGGCTCACTAGGCTAATCCTCTGCCTTGCGGCGCCAGCACCCCGGGGTTCTAGTCCCGGTTGGGGCACCGGATTCTGTCCCGGTTGCCCCTCTTCCAGGCCAGCTCTCTGCTGTGGCCAGGGAGTGCAGTGGAGGATGGCCCAAGTCCTTGGGCCCTGCACCCCATGGGAGACCAGGATAAGCACCTGGCTCCTGCCTTCGGATCAGCGTGGTGCACCGGCCGCAGCGCACCTGCCGCGGCGGCCACTGAAGGGTGAACCAACAGCAAAAGGAAGACCTTTCTCTCTGTCTCTCTCTCTCTCTCACTGTCCACTCTGCCTGTCAAAAAAAACAAACAAACAAACAAACAAAAAAAACACAAAAGCTTACAAAAAAAAAAAAAAAAGAGGCCTAGGCCAACTCAGCTCTCTCTCAAACTCTCTACCTAGGCCCTCCTGACTTTGTTGTGCCTGGTCTGCCCAGGGGCTGTTCACCACCCCTCTCCTTCATCTCATCTGTCAGGAAGTGTGTGTGCAGGGGGAACGTTGCCTCTGTTCAGCAGCCAAGGCCCAGCACCTGGTCTCCGTCGGCCCTTTCTACTAAAGGATGCCACATTTCATTTTCCCTACTCCCTTATTCACCATTTTGAAGAGACATGAGGAAGAACTCATTATAACAGGTTCATTTAATGCGGCTGTGTTTTTACCATCAACCAGACTCTCTGCAGGGCCATGTTTTCCAATCCCCCTCTTAAGGTTTTTTTTTCCTAAACTGACAAAGGTGGGCACCCTGGCTATTCTGACTCAAAGAGTTCACATTTTCTTGCTTGCTAAATCACAGAAGCTTCTCTGCCCTCCTTTTAAGATTCTTCTATCCTCTAATCAATATGCCTTGTTAAACTAGAGCTCTCCAATTGAGTGCCACTGCTCAAAAAAGTACAAAGGTCCGTGAAACTCTGTTATACTAAGATGCTATAAGCTATTGTTGTCGTTGTTACTGTATATAGTTTAAATATATCTAGTTTAAATCTTTGCCATCTACAATGTGATTCTCAAAAATATTTATGTATGTCTGTTAACAAAATATTGTTGTACTATACTTAAGTGTCTTATCTTCTAGGTTAAACATTTTCCTAAGACTCCTAAGGTCTGCAACACTTTGGTAAAGCATAAATGTGTAAAAAATCACTTACCTATTTCTTACCTGGATTCAAAAGCTGCTTTAATGTCTTCAAAATTCGAAAACTGCTTTAAAGAAACTATGGGTTAAAGTTCTGTATGTTCTTTTAAAGGATTTTTTTCTTAATTTAGAGGTATTGAGGATTGTTTTATTTTAAAGTTAGCTCTTCTTAAAAGACAGGTAGTAGGCTTAACTGCTTCTCTACCTCTTTGTAAGTGATGTATTCACCATGCTGAGTGATGGGCTCCTATGCTGATACCACATGTTACTCCTTTTCAATCAAGGATTTTCTGTGCTTTGTAACTCACCTAGGTAACACAGTTTTATGTATCTCAGAGAAGTTTCATGTCCTTTCTGTTGCCTTTATTAAATTTAATTGCTTTAAAATTTTGGGTCTTAAAGGAATTAACTTTATAACTGTAATTTGATCTAGTCCATAGCTATGGTTAAGATGTTCAGGTTTAACTTACTTTGACCAAATAGTTTAAACTTTTGAAAACTCTTTTACATCTAAAGCTCTAAAACTGAGTCTTTGACATTGAGGCTTCTAGCTGGATCCCTGGAACTGTCAAAAGATGAGGCTCTCAATTGGGAGATATAGTAACTGCCTTATGCTTTGTGTTATCCAGGACTAAACAACTGAAGCCATCAATCTCCAGGCGTTACTCCAGACACCCCCAAGGAAATCTGCATTCTACCAGGGACGCTTAGATCAGCCCTCAGAGGAATGCTCTACTGCTGTCCCTCAATGACACCCCCTTCCAGCCAGAGTTGTTGTCACCCCCATATCCCTAACAGCAGTTAGGGTTCATTCTTCTGTGGGGGGAACATGAGGAGATAGATGAACTAATAGGCAGTTAGGTCAGGTCCCTGTGGGAATGAGAAAAGGGGGAAGTCTCTTTAAGAGGGTACAAAATGCATACTTCTCCCCAGAAAGCCACCTTTAGCAAGACAAAAGGGTCAATCCCACCCTTCCGAGGGTCTAGTTTTATCATGGGAATAGAAGGACTCACACCTTGTAATCATACCAATCATACCTTCTGAGGGTTTTTTTGTTTTATCATGAGCAGGCTAGATAGCATTACAGTTCTGGCTCTCTGATGGGTTTTTGTCCCCTCATTTTGATTGATTGTTTCCTAAATTATCCTTAAAACACTCCACTTTGACCAATTTCTCAGGTCTTCCTCACTTGGAGCCTCCCCCCTCCCTGCTGCAGCAGGGGGGTTCTTGCTTTGCTAAAAAAAAAAAAAAAAAAAAGAGGCAATAGGAAGAGGAGTTCTGGCTAAACTCACTTGATAGAATTAATTATTGC